ACGATCAAACTGGAATCAGATTTGATACTGACCCGGTCGATCTTCAGGGCTTGGGCGAGTCTGAGCCCTCCAGCCAGAGCTTCGTATTCTGCCTCGTTGTTCGTCAGCTTGAAGTTGAAGATGATTGCATGGTAAATTTTGAATCCTTCCGGGGTGGTAAAGACTATACCACCCCCGTAGCCTTTAGGACCGGACGCCCCGTCTACCGCCATCTCCCACCATTGCTCGGTGGGTTTGTTGACCGGTTCTTCTGGAGTTATACCGGTCATCTCTACAAGGAAGTCCGCAAGGGCTTGCCCCTTGATTGCTGACCTTGGCCGGTACTCAATGTTGAATTGAGTTAACATCATCACCCATTTCACCATCCTCCCGGAGGATGTTGAATTTCGCAAGACTGCACCCAGCGGTTGGTCAGTCAAGACTTCTACCGGGTGAGCTTGGAAGTAGGATGTTAACTTTTTTGCGGAGATGAAAAGCACGTAGGCTGCTTTTTCCATCGCCGTGTATCTACTTTCTGCTCCGTTTAGTGCTTTGCTCACATAATAAATGGGCTTTTGTGCCCCATCATCTCTTATTAAAACAGAGCTTACAGCGTTTGGGGAAATTCCCAGGTACAGATACAGAGTTTCACCCCGCTGGGGTTTAGACAATACAATATCTGACACTAGGTATTCTTTTAGCTCCTCGAATGCCCTCTGGCACTCTTCGTCCCATGCAAAAGTGTTGGCCTTCTTCAAGACTTTGAAGAAAGGCAGGGACCTCTCAGCTGACCGGGAAAGGAACCGGCTGAGTGCCGCTAGACGACCGGTCAACTTCTGGACATCCCTCACAGATGTGGGGGCCTGCATTTCAGTGATAGCCCGGATTTTTTCTAGGTTGGGCTCTATTCCTCTCTTGGTCACCATGAACCCCAAGAACTTCCCGGTACGAACCGCGAAGACGCACTTCTTGGGATTCAACCGGAGGTTGTATCTTGCCATGATATCGAATGTGGCGCGCATATCAGCCGGGTGATTGAGAGATACCTGGCTTTTGATTAGCATGTCGTCGACGTATGCCTCCATGGTCTTTCCCAGCAGTGGCTTGAAGAGCTTGTTCATCATGCGCTGGTAGGTTGCCCCCGAGTTCTTCAAGCCAAACGCCATCACCCGATAACAGTAGGTTCCTCCGGGGGTAAGGAATGACGTTTTTTCTTCATCTTCCTTGGCCATGTAGATTTGGTGGTAGCCCTTGAAGGCATCCATGAAACTTAGGAGTTCGCACCCTGCGGTTTCGTCCACCATTTGATCAGGACTGGGGAGGGGGTATGAATCCATCGGACACGCCTTGTTTAAGTCCGTGTAGTCCACACACATTCTCCATGTGTCGCCCTTGGGAGCGAGGACGACATTGGCCAGCCAATCCGGGTATTTGACTTCCCGTATATGACCGACACCAAGGAGGTCCTTCACCTCCTTCTTGACGAAGTCTCGCCGGTCACTGGCCAGGTATCTTTTCTTCTGGCGTACCGGTCGACTTCCATCCCTCACCGCCAGCCGGTGGCAGATGATCGAGCGGTCTATCCCGGGCATATCCGCCACGCTCCATGCAAATACGCCCGCGTATTCTTGGAGCACCCGTGTAATCTCTGCCTTGAGATCTTCTGGGAGGTTTGCTCCAATTCTGACCATTCTTGATGAATCACCCGGGTGAAGCTCAATCTCCACCGTCTCAGCTTCAGGCTCCAGTTTCTCCCGGGTTTCTCCCTTGGTGATTTCTTGGGAGATGACGTTGACTCCCTTGGTCATCTTCTAAACTGCCCGGGCATAGCACTCCCGGGCGTTCCTCTGGTCGCCCTTCACCTCACCCACACCACCTGGAGTGTGGAACCTCATGCACAGGTGAGGCATGGAAATCACCGCCCCGACCTTGTTAATGCCAGGCCTTCCAAGGATGGCGTGGTGGACGCATTTGATGTCCACAACGATGAACCGCATCTTCTTCCACACGGTCTTTTCGCCCGATCCTAGTTCGACCGGTAGAACTATGGACCCCTCAGCTTCCACTATGTCTCCCGTGAAACCTGAGAGAGGAGTTTTGAGGGGTTCAAGTTGTGTCCGACACAACCTGTGTTTTTGGAAAGTCTCCAGGTATAGGATGTTGACACTGCTGCCGGTGTCAACAAGTACCCGGGCGACGTCCACCCCGTTGATGTCCATGGTGATGACCAATGGATCATTGTGATCTTCACCGGTAGGAGGGAGGTCCCGGTCAGTGAAGACTATTGGCTCCCTCCTGGGATACTTACGCCTGGCCGGTTCGGCATTCACCTCACCAACGTAAATGCTGCGAACCCAGTTTTTCCGCTGCGCGGCTGAATCTCCTCCTTCGGGTCCGCCAAAGATCATCCCAATATGTTCTTT